TGTAAAGAATCTTATTAAAGTTTTTGAAAATAAATAATAGTTAATTACTTTATTAGTTAATGAGTGAATTTTTAAAATTTTAATCTATATTTAATATTTATTCAAAAATTTCGAAGTTTATTATTTAAAAATAAAAAATTATTTAATTATAATAATTACAATAATAATAGTAATAAGAATAATAATTATAATAATACTAATATAAGAGGTAAAATTTTAAGAGTTTGCTTGTAATAAAAAAAAAACTTGTTTGAAAGTCAGATTCTCCACATTATCAGAAAGTTCTTATTAAAGTTAATTAGATCGTGAAATATTATCGGATTTCTGTAATTACCGATTAAGAACAAATTTCATTTGAAACAAATGTTTCTCTCAGAAATTCATTCGGAGAAGAATTTTGAAAAATAAAAGTGTTTTCAAAAAAGAGGAAAACTAAAAAAGTATTAAACTAATGATATAGTATTATTAAACTAATAAAATAGTAGATGTTATTAAATAAATAAAATAATGTTATTAAACTAATAAAATAGTAGGTATTATTAAATAAATAAAATTAATTTATAATTTAATAAAGCCAAAAAAATTAAATTCTATATTAATATTTTTATCAAAAAAGAAATTGAACTTTCAATAAGTTAATAATAATTAAACGGAATGAAATGAAAATAAAACTCCAAATAGTTACAATTCTTTATCAATAATATTTATTTTTGGTTCTCAATAAACATACAAAATTATTACACTATCCATACTATTAATCACACATTTATACAAAAATAATAATAAAATTGGATAACTTAAAAACGGCATTATTTATAATATTTATATATTTATATATATAATATATTTAAGATTAAAAAACAATTAGAAAATAATTGTATATATATCCGAATTCGATATCAAATTTTATCAATATTAATAAAAAAAAAATCTATTAGGAAAAAAAATTGAAACGAACATGACTGTATTTGATGAAAAAAGAAAAAAAAACAATGGAAAATTAATAACGTATTCATGTCGGATGCGTTATTTATTTGTATTCGTTAATTAATAATTATGACGTAAAAATGAGCAGTCGATGAAATTTTCGTTTTGATACGATTTCCCCATCGCTGCATCTCTCAGTCTTGCACAGTCCACAAAAAATCACAAACACTCACTCTCTTTTTTTTTTGCATTCAATTTTTTCTTTTTTTTCATTCCCTAAATTGTTACTCTCTACATCTGTAAATTGTTTTTTTTCTACTTTTAATTCTAGAAAACAATTTTTTTTTCGTTTTAGATACAGATTTGTTAGAGGGAAACAATTTTAAGGATTGAAAAGTGATGAAGAAAGACAGAAACAAAATTCATTCGCCGTCGTGCATACAATTATTTACTAATTTTTTATAACACAGCAAATATACGCACACGACATCAGACTGCTGGACAGCAAGCCACGCACGTACGGTACTGGTAGAAGTAACATACACCTTATATTTTAATCGAATTTTACAAATCGGGGTTGGGGGGAGGGAGGGGGCGCTTATTTATTTCATAATCGATGAGGAACCATTGATATACGATACTCGTGTATTTATATAGCAAAAAACGTGTGCCAATCGAGTCATAAGTGAGATGAGTGGAGAACGTGTGTCTGCTTTGTGAAAATTGTATCTGTCAACTCTTATTTTTTTTTGCGGTAAAAATTACTTTGAGATTCAATTTTTTATGTCGATCAAGAATTTCTAGTCGTTTGATTAAAAAAAAATTATGTTTAATTGAAGATTGATTATGAAAATTTTTCCATAATTCGGTACAAAATAAAAATCAAATAATTATACTAAATTTTAATTTTGTTAAATTTCAATTCCAATTTAATTAAATTTCAATTTCAATTAAAACTTAATTAATTTTCAATTTATTAATTTTCAATTCCAATTTAATTTACTTTCAATTTCAACTTCAATTTAATAGAATTGAAATTAAATTCAATTCAGTTCAATTTGAAATTCAATATAATTACATTAAAGTTGAAATTGAAACTGAAATTAAAATTGAAATTTAATTCAATTAAATTGAGAAAGAAATTAATCTTTATACCTTTAATTAAACTAACAATGCACTGTGAAATTTTCTTCATAATTTGGTATAACTACAGTCGAATTGAATTAATGAAACTGGAATTGAATTTAAATTGGAATTAATTAATTTAAATTAAATTTTAATTAAATTAAATCAAAAGTTACATTTCAAGTTAATTTAAATCAGTGGAAGTTTCATAATAAAATTTTTTCATACTTTAATATAAAATAGAATTAACTTAATTAAATTCAAATTTAATTGAATAAATATTACATTAAATTGAAATTTAATTTAACTTAATTTCAAATTAGATTAAATTAAATTCTAATTACTTTAATTCAATTCTAGTGTATTTATACCAAATTATGAGAAAAAATTGCAAAATGCATGTTTAATTTAATGAATGGTAAAAAAATCAATTTCATTTTAATTCTAATTTAATTAATTTTTAATTTCAACTTTAATTTAATTAGATTAAATTTGACTCCAGTTTAATCAATACAATTCTACCATATTTATTCCAAATTATTGTAAAAAAATTCCATAATGTATGTTTAATTTAATTAAAAGTAAAAAAATCAATTTCATTTTAATTAAATTTCAATTTCAATTTTAATTCCAATTTAATTAAATTGAAATTTCACCTAAAATTGAAATTCGATTTAACGAAATTGAAATTTTTTTTAATTAAATTAAAATGAAATGGATTTTTTTACCTTTAATTAAAATAAACATGAATTATGAATTTTTTTTTCATAATTCAGTATAAAACATAATTTAATTTAAGTGAATTGAAATTACATTAAATTAAACTGAATCTCTACAGTTATGAATGTTTCTAAAATTTTAAACATTCAAATGAACAAAAAATTTTTCCCTTTTCGATATTTTTCAATATTATTATCTTTTAATGAGAACTAAAAAACAATTGAACATTTATTAAGAATATTGTAATTCATTTTTTAATTTGTAAATTCATATTTTTTACCAAAATTCAAACTTCAAAAACAGTAACAAAAAAAATTCGTTCATTTAAACGTTGAAAACTTTAGGGACATCAGTTTTGAAGTAAATTTTATAAATTTGTAATTGAACTGAATGAAATTGAAATTTAATTTAGTTCAATTCAACCGAAATTTAATTTAATTTAATTTGACCAAATCCAACTGAAATTGAATTGAATTTTCAATTTTCTTTTAAAAACTATAAATTGACAATATTGTATTTTTCGGCGAAATCGAAGAACAAAATTGCGAAGAAATTCTTGTTGCTTGCAATTATTTTTCCGGGAATGATAAAGAGGGGAGTGGATGACATATATATATTTTTATATATATAAATATTTATATTTATATGGAGAACACTGGGAAAGACACTCAGGGCAGACAGACAGACAGACACAGATATAGACTAGGCTACCAACTATTTTATCGTACCTATCTAAACGTACATTTAAAGAGTGTATATACACACACGATATGCATACATATACAATTAAGCTTTATACGTATGAATATACGTATGGTATCGTTTCAAAAATTCGTCACAATTTTTTTTTTCCTTTTTGTATCATATTTTTTTTCTTTTTATTATCATCACGATCGTTTTTTCATCAGTTTTTCTTTATTTCTCCTCTAATAATTATTTCTTCACGTTCCTTTCTCTTTTCTCACAATTCTAATCTCGAATAATAATTGTCATTATAGATTTCTTTCTTTTTTTTTTTTTTTCATTACTCAAGCTTATGCCCAAAAATCTACCAGAGGCACTTTGGGTTTATTAGTACCATTAGAAAATGACGTGCGCGGGGGGAGGCAAACGCACGCCTTTTATATCTTTCAGAGCAAGATGATTGTTTGTTTTTTTTATATTTGTGGCCCGCGGAGCCGGCAACCTGGTCTCTGCAGATTCTAGTCCGTCTCTCTCAAGCCCTAAGAACTGTCGAAAAAGTTCAATTTTTCTTTTTATTATTAGGAGTCAATTATTTATAGTTAATTGTTGAATATAATTTTATATTTAGTATTTTATATTCAATAGAATTCTATACTCGGTAGAATTTTATATTCGATAGAGTTTTATATTTGATAGACTTTTATATTCAATAGAATTTTACACTCAATTCGAATTTTACATTCGATTGAATATAAAATTCTATTTTACATTCAATAGAATTTTATGTTTAATATTAATACACTTTTATATTCATATGATCCTAAAGTTCTCAAGTTTCAAATGAAGGAAATTCATTTCTTAAAATTAAATTTTTATTATGAAAAACTATCGTTTTGCGTAAATATAAAGAAAATTGTTTCTAAATTAAGTTTTTACTTTTTATTTCAGTAATTTCGAAAATAGTTTTAATAAAAAATTTCTTCATTTGAACGTTTGAAAATTGTGGATCATTCAATACAATTTTATATTCAATTCAATTTCATATTCAATTGAATCTGATATTTAATTTAATTTAATTTTATATTCAATTGAATTTTTTATTCAATTCAATTTTATATTCAATACAACTTTATTCTCAGTAATAATTATTATCGTTCATTTTTCGCTAATTGTTCCCATAAATAATTATTATTGATAGATATTTTCAGGTAGATGTATTTTGAGAAATAAGAATAAAAATATTGAAAAAATTTTCAAAGAAGAAAATACGAATCGACTCTTTCGACAGTATCTTTCTTTCGTGTTATTTTATAATTACCAAATAGGGTTCATAAATAATTTCCTATTAAACTTGTAACAGAACTGAATAAAGTAGAAGCAGTTTCATTGCAAAAATTAATTAATTACAGATTAGACAAAAGTGTACAAAATTTTTTAGACAAAAAAATTGTTTTTCTCTAATCGTAAAATTCTTTGTTAACTTTTTTTTCATTTGGAAAATAATAAAATTTTTTCGAACCCTATGAACAACCTCCCCCCCACTGTTTTTCACTTTCTACCCTACTATACCTCCGTTCCATTTCGTGACTTTCTTTTAGCTCTGAGTTTTTTTTTCTTTTTTTTCTTATTCTCTCCATCTCTATATTTTTTTCCATTTAGAAATCTCCCGATTCTTCCCGATATTTTTGAGCAATAAATACTTTCTCCACGTACGACTTGCACATTGAATTGACGCACAGGACAGTCATTAGTTTTTTTTTTTTTTTAAACGCACAATCATTATTTTATTTCATTCATACATTCATACCAATATGGTTTTACATTCACGGAGTAATGTCACGTTAATTAATGATTATCAATTCATATCAATTTGATATCAATGTATTACAATCAGACAAATACTCAACAGTGATCATTATTCGTTATTATATTACAATTATTAATTAAGAGCGACAACAACATGACGACGGAGGCGTTGAAGCAGTTTTTTTTTTTTTTTTTTTTTTTTGAAGACAGGGAAAGTGATACAAGGCAATTTTTTTAAATGGGAATGATGAAGAAATCATTTTTCATTTCTTTCGCTTTTTTGGGGGGGAATAAACATTTTACAAAAATTGAGGTATTCGCACCTCGGAGGATAAAAAGAGCCTTTGCGCGTTAGTATACCTTATTATATGATAAATGGCAATGACGTGATAGCAACAATGTTGATGATGACTTATGGCAGATAATAACGTCGATTAGGTGATATATAACGTGATGAAATTAATGGAATATTTTGGAGTTTTTGGAAGCCGGGAATGTACAGACGAAACGCTTTTTATTTATCTAATTAGGACTTTCGAATCAGTTTCAAGATTTCAATTGTGGAAACGATTTTAGTTCTAAAAAAATTTTATTAAAGAAAGATTTCAAAAAGAAAAATTTCACTAAAATAGATTTTATTAAAAAAATTTTGTTTTAAATAAAACGTTTGTTAAAATAGCAAAAGATTTATTCCTAAACAGTAATATTTAAAAATTGTATATATATATATTTCTAAAAATTAATAATATTTGCTTAACAATAATCATCCGATGACTTTTTTCCACTGCATTTTACATGATTTCCTATAAATCGCCTTAATTTTTTGCCCTTACATTTTATTGAAAATGTTTTACCCATAGAAATGTTATTCGTAACTAAATTTGCTTAAAACAATTTACCATTTGCAATAAATACAAAACTTTGTAAAAAAACTTGATTTTACTTTTTTTGTCGACTTCTTTTCGTATACTTAAAAAACTCCCAGTAGAAAAATCGCACATTCTTTTTTATCAACTAATCGTAAAGATTGTCTAATTTGTCTAAATTATCTAAATCTAAAAGAAATTATATAGAAAAAAATCTCTCAAGAGGAAAGTTGCCTTTTTTCCGATTAACTGTATATTTGGCATCATTTTTATTTAAATGGCAGTTTTTTTTGTGCTTTACTTTGCAAAAAAAGTCTTATAACTCCAAAAAAAATGTATCGAAAATTTTTATTACCTATAAAAATCAAAAATAAAGTAAAACTGCAAAACTTTGATTCTAAACTGAGAATCATTGTTACAGAAATTTTTGCAAAAAGAGATGAAAAAATTTTTTTAAAAAATTGGCACAGAAAAGAAAAAAATTTGAGCGTCTATTCTCATTGTTCATCAATGAGTAGGTAGAATTATAAAAAAAGCATCTGTTCCTCTAAAATCTTCTTGTCTTGAATATTTCAGTCTCTCTCTCATAACAAAAAATCACAAAATAGAAAATAAATTCGATATATTATTTATATATACACACAGTAATAATATAAAAAATTGTATATTATATACTGGAGGAATGTGTCAAGAAATAGACAAAACAAGAAAATAGAAAAAATAAAATGAAAAAAGAAAAAATTGGAATTAGTAATTGACAGTATTAATAAAGAAATTATTATGAGAAAAGAAGCGTTTCGAGGGAACATTTCTTAGGCCGGGTACCAAAAAATTGGGGGGGGGGGGAATGGGGGGAAGCACGCACACTCAACACAACCGTCATATTGAACTGGCCTCGCGCGCGCGCGGCCATAGTCCAGATACAATAATATCCTATAATCTAATGAACAGTCTGTTCTCCGTTTTTTTTCCATTTTGCGCAAAAAATGCATCTTTGTTTCTCCTTTCATTTCTTAAACGTATATATATTTTATTTATTTATATATATATTTATACTTTTATTTGTATTTGTGTATTTTTTCCCCAAATTAACGCATATTTCGCGTGTAAATTGGATGCACAAAAAGATTTAATAAAGAGGGGAATTCGATTTTTTTTTCAGGGGGCAGGGAATGGGGAGAGAAAAGAATATATACATACACATGCGCTGCGACGGTCTATAGTGTATATATGTACACATATACATATGACATACCATTCATATATATATATATAATAATATTATTAATATTAATATTCATATCAATTATTTCAATAATAGCTTATTGCTACTTATCTCGTAATTCCGTGAGCCCCGTCGTGAGCCCCGGATATTTTTTTTTTTTTGTAATAACGATGGATGGAAATTTCTTTTCGTTTCTTCTTCTAAAAAAAAAGCGCGCCGATGTCGCACACATTTACAAAAATTTGTTCAAATATTTTGATAAAAATCGTTTCTCGCGTGCTTTTCAGACGTGAAATTTATGGGGGCCGCTACCGCCGGGGTGGTGAGCATTTCAATTAGTATCCTAGTACGATATCGTGTTTCTATAATTATTATTTACAATTGCGCGTTAATGTGAAATTTCCACATTTGCTTTTGTTTTTCACACACCTGCCAACCAGCGGCCATCAAGAAGACTGTAAACACGAGTCGTGATTCAATCTCTATTTGGGGGGGGGATGATGTTTGCACATGGAACGAAGGAAGAATAAAAAAAAAGTTTTGAGAGAAAAAAAAAGATCTTTCTTGACCCTGTTTCAAAATGCATACAAATGCGACGATCCTCCTCTCCAGACTTTTGAAAGCACGGCCGTAATAGCTTAATAAGACTTAGTTTATCTACTTATTTTCTTGATTCTTTTGGTGCTTCACTCTTGCACCATCTTTTTTATTTACCAACAACTTGGTAGTCTTCTCCTCTCTCTTTCTTCGTTCGTTCGTTCGTTGAAGAACTTGGTTCGAGGAGGAACTGGCCCGAGCGATTAAAGCAGTAATAGGCCGCCAGTACGCTTGGCAATTTATCGACAATGCTTATCGTCATGACTCAGCAAGGTAGCTCCTGACGTGGTTTCGTTAGGTACTTTGCTGAGTTCATGGGGCATCAGGGATTGGCATCAGCTGCCATTATATTGTGAACCTGTTCGAGCTTGTACGCCAGCCTCTGTTTCTGCGAGAATTCATCCTCCTCGAGGGTCACTATCAGTTGTTCGTTGTACTTTCCTGCATACGTGTAAAGTTCATAGAGTGCGCAATTCGTATTGAACTCGGTTGTATGCAACTGCAAAAGAAAGAAGGGAAAAAAAGGAAAATTAAAATTAATCATTGAGTTTGAAAACAAAAAAAAAACGATTCTCACGAGTGGAATAAATATTTTTTTGCCCGAATGCATTTACTGCTCAGTCATTCAAACGAGTAAATATACTCACTCTAGATTCTTCGGCGAGCATGGCATTCATATCCTGGTCGGAAATGGCAGGCATGATTTTTATATCGGAGTAGTAGCGCTCCACCCATTCTTTATACACTGGAATGTCCTTGGCGTAGAGCAGCTTCGAACTCGGCGAGTCCTTGCCTAAAGTTTAGAAATATACTTTAGCTTTATGCTTAGAAATATTAAAAAAATACTTTCTCTATAGGGAAGCGAAAATTTTATAAGAATCTTAAGATAAATTTAATTGGGATGAATAATAAAATACTTAAGAGTTAATAAAATAGATAATTCTAAAGTTCTGAACGTTCACATGAACAACATTTATTTATTTCCTCTTCAAATTAAATTTGTATTTCAAAATTTTTGCGTCATTATCAAAAAAATTAATTATTATAAAGTTTCTAAATGTAAAACTTCAGTTCTTCATTTCAATTGGAATCAGTAATTATTGAAAAAAATTTTAATAAAAAATATTTCGTTCATTTGCACGTTAAAAAATTGTGGATCATTAAAATAAAAATAAAAAATACTTAATTGACTTTTTGAAGAACCTCATTAAAATTTGGAAAATAACATTTCGAGGAATTTTAATTTAAATTATTTTTAAACAATAGAATTTTCAAAAATTTTACTGAAAGATCTTTACATGAAAATTAATTAAAATTAACATCAGAAAATTATATTAAATTAAAATATTAATAAAAAAATTAATTCGTAGAATTTTTTTCAATATAATTTTTTAAAATTCAAATATTTTCAAAATTTTCAATTCACCATTTTCGCAAATTGAAATATCTACAAAAAATAATTATATTAACTTATTAACTACACTTTTTGAAAAATTTAATGTTTTAGAATTATTATTTATATTTTGAAGAAATTAATAATTTTGAAAATTTCTAATTAAAATAATTCTTCAAAAAATTGATTACTTCTGTAAATTATTCAAAAATTCGTTCAAGATATTCAATTATTTTCGCAAAATTACATTACAATATATATAAAAAAAATAGTTTTTAGAAACTTTTCATTGTAATTTTTTAAAATTCAATTACTTTCAATATTTCCACTTACATTGTTCCGAAAATTCAAATATCTAGCTTTTTAGAATTATTAGATTTTTAGAGACCTTAATTAATTTCAAAATTTTTATTATAATAATTCTTTAAAAAACTTTAAATTTTGGATTTTTCTGAAAATTCAAATACATCCAAAAAATTATTTTTTGTTTATCAACTACATTTTTTTAAAAATTCAATTTTTTAGAACTATTATTAAATTTTTAGAGAAATCAATCATTTTCAAAATTTTTATTCAAATAAGTCTTTAAGAACTGATTCAATTTCTTATTTTTCAGAAAAACTTTAAATATCTTCAAAAAATAATGTCATTAATTTATCGACTATGTTTTTTAAAAAAGCTAACTTTTTAGAATATTGTTATTAAATTTTTAGAGAAATTAACCATTTTCAAAATTTTTATTGAAATAATTCTTCGAAAAAGAGATTAAAGTTTTGAATTGTCAGGAAATTCTTTATAAGAAATTACATTATTTTCGAAAAATCATTACAATACAATATTTTTTAAAAAACAAATTCTAAGAATTTTTTTTTATCATAGTTCTTAAAATTCAAAAGTTTTCAAGGAATTAAACTTTTAAAAAAATTTACTATTTTTTTACTTTTATCATTGAAATTTTCGAGAAAACTAGTATTTTTATACTTAAAATTCTTCACAAATTTGCTTATTTTTAATATTCTCCAAAAATTCTTTTAAATAAATTCAAATATTTAAAAAAAATTTTTGCTAAAGTTCAATTAAAAACAACTTGTCTTGCATTTATATGTAAATAAATAAATAAATAAATAAATAAAAGAAACGAATAAATAGAATAAAAAAATTATTAAAAATATTATTACTTTTTAAAAATTATTTAAAAATATTTTTAAAAAATTATTTTAAGAATTTTCTTAAATATAATTTTTTGTAAATCAATTTTCTTTAATATTTGCAATTACTTAGTTTTAATTTAACCTTAATAAATTAAAAAAAACCATCAAGAGTTACATTTTGCAATTTATATAAAAAAATTGAACTTTATTTGTATTTAGATAATTGAATATTCGAAGAACTTTCTAAAAATTATTAAAAATAATTGATTTAGAGAAAATTTCAAGTGAAAATTCTAGAAAATAATTGAATATTGGAAAAGTTATAGTAAAAAATTTTCAAAATAATTGAATTTTAAAAGGTTTCAAATTAGAATTTTTAAAAAATAGAATTTTGAGTAATATTAATTGAAAGTTTTTCAAAATTTAGTTTTTTGATAATTTTAGTTCAAATTTTTTTAAATTAGTTGTATTGTTGAATATATATTTATTATTTCATTAAAAAACTTTTAAATAATTGAAATTTTGTAATATTGAATTTCAAATAATTGAATTTAAGGCGTTTTTTAAGTAAAATTTCTTTCTTTTTTGAATATAATTTAACTCTTGAATAAATTTCTCAAAAGTATTAAAAATAATTTATTTAGAGTAGAATTTAAACTAAAACTTCTAAAAAATAATTAAACCTTACAGATTTACAGTTGTAATTTTTAGAAATAATTAAATTTCAGAAGAATGGAAATTGAAGTTTTTAAAAATTAAATTCCTGTGAAATTATTAAATTTCAGAGGATTTGAAATTGAAATCTTAAAAATTTTAAGTCCTGTGAAAAAATAAATATAAGTATTTAAATATTCTTTGACAACACTGAATGAAATAAACGACTTTTTCAATTTTTTTCTTACTTTAAATCGACTAAAACGACGAGGCTGAAGTCTGCAACGTTTTTAAAAGCGAAACCAAAAAAATAATGCGATGGTTTTTTTATTTTTGATTCTATATCATGTTATTTTTAACAATTGTCTCTTAAGTAACAATTTATTTCTTAAAAATTAACGCACACAAAAATTAGAGATGAATTTAATTTCTTAAAAAATTATTTTTTGATTTCTCGTTTTTAAAAACGTTACGGACATCAGCGTCATCTAAAACGACTTTTTTTTATCTTTAAAGTCGATCCAAGGCCTGTTAGAAAATAAAATAGAAAAGAATACGAAAAGACTTACCTAATCTATGATCAGATGTAGAACAACTGTCCATGAATGTTTGCGCCACAACTGATAAACACGAGTCAACGATATTTGACTTGTGAATGTCAAAAACAAAATTTGGATTCTTAATGAGATTGACCCAAAACCTAAGCGGTAGAGAATTGCTCTTCCACGTGTGAACCACTTCGGGGTCGGATATGCCATGATGAAGAGCCTGATCGTCAAGGAAGTCGAACATGTATTTAATGGCAAGCGGCAATGCAGAGCCACGATGTGCCGTACTGAATATCGTCTCGAATAAGTCGTCCACGAATTTCTGCAAGGTACCCTTCGTTGCCAGCAGTCTTGTCAAATAAATTTCCGAAACCATTTTATTACCACGTTCGCCTTCCTTTTGTGCGTCCGAATCGTGATGTTTAACGAGATGCCAAACCTTTAAACCACCATCGTGATCATGATTTAATGGCGACGTTGCACGTGACAGTGGTGGACTCGCTGAATTAAATTTACTAAGATTTAATGTCTCATATTTATGTGATTTGTCAGTTTTCTCCGATAATATTGATAGATTATAAATAGAGGATTGTTTCGAGACAAGATTAAGCGATGCACCGTCTGGTACACGATAGTGATTCAATGTATTCCTCTTCTTCCAATCGCATTCCGTTTTTGTCGTTGAATCCTCGTCGTAGAGAATCAGTCTTCCAGAGGCGCCTGTTCTCCATTCTATTTTTTGAATTAAAACAAAAGCAATTTTTTAAATGTCCAATTGTTTAAATTTATATGCAAGCATCACAGTTCCTTTTATCCTCAAAAAAGATGACAAGAGGAATTTTTTTTTCTCAAAAAGGGGACAAAAAATATACCAAACAACAAATTAAAATGTGTTCAAAGTTATATTAACAGTGTATATTAATATTCAAATTTCTTACAGTTTCGGATTCTTTGACAGAAAATAATATTTATTTACGAATTTCTTTAATTGTAAAATTATTCGAAAACATCAATAACTTCATTTTTAAAAAAATACTTAATCATTATTATTTTTTCCATAAGAATGAAGATTTTCAAAAATTTCAATTTCAAACTTTTTCAAATTTCAATAACTTATAATAAGAATATTCTTATAAAACATGAAGATATCGATCACCCGGAGTCTTCGACTCAGAATGATTGATGTCTTCATGTCTTATAATAATTAAAGACGACTGCGTGATAGAATCATTATTTTATATTATAAGCACATTGTAACAGTAACTTTTTCAAATTTATTTTCATCATTTCAATTCAATTATTATTTTCTAGAATTTTCATCTAAAATTCTTTTTCAAATCAATTATTTTTAATAATTTTTCAAAAAGTTCTTTGAGAATTTTCAAATTTGTTTACAATTCAATTTTACCAAATTTCGATTAATCGGAAATTCTACAATTAAATATATATTAGAAAATAAAAACTTCTAATAATTTCAAAAAAAAATCCAATTCAACTTTTTCAAAAAAAAATTAAATCTACAGATTTTCCAGCTAAAAGTATGAAAAATTCAATTTTCAGAGATTTTAATTTGAAATCTTTTTAAAATTCAATTATTTCTAAAAATTCACGCCAAAATGCTTTTAATATTCAATTATTATCTAAAGTTTTAACTGAAATTCATTTTTAAATCACGTTTTGTAATTAGAAAATTCAACGAGAATTCAATTATTTAAATACAAAAATGAATAATTTATTGATTAATTGAATGTTTCTTAAAATTGAATTCTTATAAAAAATTTTTAAATAATTGAATTCTTTTGACGAATTTTGATGAAATCTTTAAGAACAATTGAATTTTTCGAGGAATTCAAATAAAATTGTACTAAATTAAAAAATTGGGAAGAATTTTATACACAATTTCTAAATAATTGATTTTTTTTTGCAAAAATATAAGCCCATTTTTTTAAATAATTGAATTCTTGCAAAATTGTTATTATTCATGAAAATAATTGAATTCTTGTGATGAATATTGTTATTTGTAAAAATAATTGAATTTTGCAAAGAATTTTTTTAATATTTTTGAAAATAATTGAATTTTTGTAAAAAATTTTGCTATTTATCAAAAGAATTGAATTCTTTTGAAGAATTTTAATGAAATTTTTAAAAATAGTTGCATTCTTTTCAAAAATTCGATTAAAATTGTGTTTAAAATAATTGAAATTCTGCGGTGAGTTTTATTATTTATGAAAATAATTGAATTTTGGAGAAGAATTTTAATATTTTGAAAGATAATTGAAATTTTGACAAGATTTTTTTTTTAAATTTCTGAACATAATTGAATTTCTGCGAAGAATATTATTTATTAAAATAATTGAATTCCTAAATAAATATTATTATTTATGAAAATAATTGAATTGTTGCAAATAATTTTATAAAATCTTTTCAAATAATTGATTTTTTACAAAAAAAAGTGTGCCAGTTCTTTTTTAAAGAATTATTGAATTCCTGTGAGAATTTTAATACTTATAAAAATAATTGAATATTTGCTTAGAATTTCATCAAATTTTTTTTTAAATAATTGAATTCTTTTAGAAAATTTTATTAAAATAGTACATAAATTGAAAATCATTGAATTGAAGAAAATTTTTGAAGTTAATTGAAATTTTGCCAAGAATTTTATTAAAATTTTTGAAAATAATCCAAGTTCTTTAAAATTTCTAGTTAAATTCATTGAAAATGGAAATTTTCCAAAATTTCAAATTGAAACCCTTTATTTATGAAAATTGTAAACGCAACTCTTATAATAATAGTCAATTATTTCTGAAATTTTTAAGTAAAATTATTATTCATTAAATGATTTATAAGTAATAATGTTATGATAGTTCTACAAGAATTAAATTATTTAAAATAAATTATTATCAGAAATGGAAAAAATTAAAGGTTTTGTTATTTTGTATTAGAATTCATTGTAATGTCATAGTTTATGAAGCAAACAAAAAAAACACTAAAATTCAGTATTTTCTTATGAATTCTAAAAATTTAATTTTTGCAAATAAAAATCCTTTACTTTTCCTTGATTAATTCTACTTTCCCTATTTTCTTCAAAAAATAATGTTGAAAATATGCTTATTTGTTTAAAAAATGTCAATGTTTTAAAAAAATTTTATAGAGGCGATATGCCAAAAAACATTTGGATCATGTGTAAATTTTATAAAAATAAATAAATATTTTGATTGGCAATTTTTTTTTCAAAAATTGATATTTTCGTTTTTCTAGAAAAAACTATTAATAATAATATTTTAATTATTTTTCTAGAGGTCTGCATTCTGTTGAATGAACTATCTTGTAATTTATAAAATTCTTTACAATATATTATTTAAATCATTAACATAAAAAAACATTTATATTATGTTGTGGGGTTAATTAAATCAAAAATGAAACGTACTGAATTCTATAACATTGAGTCTAAATTTTATAATAACACTTTGAAAAATATTTTAAGAAAAGAAAAACTTCTTTATTTTTAATTAGAAAAAGGTGATGTGATGCCTGTAAATGTCTAATTTTTGAGTTTATTTATTTTTTAAAAGTATCTCGAAAACTTACCCAAATCAAGATCGTCCTTCCTGGGTCTTTGACTGTAGGGCGTTGCTCTGTAGATCGTATCGAGCGATTTTTCCTTAACCTGAGAAATTGTATCACAATCCAAAACCTTAACGGGAACATTTTCTGTATTTGGATCCATTCCGCCCACGAATACTGTCTGTTGTGAAATAGACACATAGACGGTCTGCAAAATGAAAGAAAGAAAGAGGATTATATTATTTGTTCTCGAGAGGGAATTTGAAACGTTATTTATTGGACAATGTTGCTCACTCATGAAACGAAACGTCATTATTACTCACCATGTGTTTAAAATCAATAGATTGTCTGATTAACTTTTCTTCCGACAAGGAGTACCTTGCCTCTGATGTGATAGCATCTACGGGCCCTTTATCGACTTGCTGCTTCATCGCACGGAAGAGCATGTACAATGGTTCGCCTGCACACTCTCGCATGAATTTATACAACAGAAAAGTAAACCAAGCAGACAGCATTTTCTCCGCAACGCTCTCGGTTCTAAAATAAAGAACAAAAATTAAATCATCATTAAATAAACAATTGGAAAAGACTTTTTTCGGATAGTAGAAAAAAATAAAATACCTTCTGAGTAATAATTTCGGATGACTCTTTCCCTCCATGCATTTTTCGATAACTTCGGCGAGTAGTGTTTTCAGAATATCGGTGCAATATTCCATTTTGCTCTGCAGAGTGACCATTATTAGGCTTGCAACGTTGACACGATCCCTCATGGTGAAATAACGATTGCTCTCGAGAGTTCGCACAAATAGGAGTAAGAAAGTTTTGTTCATGATGAGTTGTCCGAATAAACGAAGACCCTTTTCCTTTCTCGCCAATTCCGGTCTGTCCCACTGAAGAACAACATGATTTTCCATATTTGGAAAGAGAATTTTCATCGCATATGTTCGATAATCGAGGAAAGGTATTCCTCCGCTAGTCAAGTCGCCGGTCAAATCTGTCATCTCGGTCTGCAATTCGGCGAAAGCCTCCTTACACTCGGCAGCGACCCTCAATTCCAATATATCCATTTGCTCCTGCATATTCTTCAAAACTCGATTGCTCTCTGTCGATTTTCGTCTGTACGCAATCAGGAAGGCGATAAACACAAAGACCAAAATGACAATCGCCGCAATCACACCAATCAACGCCGGTTTCGACAGCGGTCCATTGAGACCCGCCGGCAAAGCGTAACTCAATTTTCCAATTTTAAACCTCAATTTTGATCCAACAATAACAACGACTTCGGGCAGTTCCTTAGACGGCAGACCCTCGAGATCAATAGCCGGCGGTTGACTCTCTGGCGGTCTACAAGTGAGCTGTTGCCTCGACAATGAAGTCACATTACAATAACTGTTGCCAATTTGCACCACGACATCCGACTCCTGACAGGCACGATCGAGATGCTGCCCATTGATCGTCAAATAATCGCTCTTATAATATTTCACCTCCTCGTCAAATACATCGTAAATTGGATTCGGATAAAGCAAAAAATGATTGGACAATACTTGCGATAAATTCTGCACACCAGTCACATTATCCATTCTAAAACCATATTCGAGTGACAATGGCTTCTCGGCGTCGAGTGTCAGGAGATCCGGTATTTCAATGAGTGGCGAATCACAAATCATGCTCGTGTTCGAAAGAACAATGCATCTTGATACAAACATTTTCTCATCAAAGTAAACGTACATTTGGGGCGATCTTATCACGGCGAGATTTTTACCGGTGACGGAGATTTTTATACCGCCGGCTGGTATGCCTTTTGGTATTTTCACTTGCCCACCGACACCACTCTCGACACTCTCGATTGTCGGATCGGCGACGTAACGGAATTTCCCACTGTACTCACGAACACCCTCGTCGAAGAACATTCTCAAGGTGCCATTCAATGGTTGTTCACTTGCACTTGTCATACATTGCGCCTCACCCGGTTCGGTGCTGGTTATCATACATGGTAAATTGTCAATTAGTGCTTGAATTTTACTTCCTGCATTCATATATTTCCCGTAGATTCTCACTGTTGTTCCACCGCTCACTGGTCCTTCTTGTGGATCAATTGCCGTTATCACCGGATCGACGAATTCGAAATTATACTTTGACTCGCCGCGGAAGTCCTCGATTTTCACGATTACGGGTCCTTCTCTCGATTCTGAAGTTCCTGGGCCGTCGACTCGACAAACTATTTGCTTCGTCCTCACGTACAATTCACGGTACGGTTGACATTGAATTCCTACATTAGAGACAAACAAAAAAATTAACATTTTTCTCTCTTTAGGGTTGTGACAAAAATTAAATTTTGACTTTCCCTAACTTTTCATGAGGCTTCAATGTTTTTGAAAAAGAAAACGAAAAAATAATGCGACTGATTTTTATTTTTGATTCTAAATCATGTCTTTTTTTAAGAATACATTGGTGAAGTTCACGAAATTTAAAATCAACAATTTATTTAATAGAGAAAATGATTTTTTTTTAAATTTTTGGCTAAAAATTTTTTGTATCAATAATTCTTTGACAATAATTCAAAAAATGAAAATTTGTAAACAAAAAATATTGCATTCTGGGTAAAAATTATTTTTTTTCTATATGAATTAAGATTTTCAAATTCAAACTTTTTGAAATTTAATGACTTGTAAAAATATTGATGCTATTACTTCTTCAAAATTATTTTCATCATTTCAATTCAATTATTATTTTCTAGAATTTTGTAAATAAAATTTTTCTTTAAATCAATTGTTTTTAATCATTTCTGTCAAAGTTCTTTGAAAATTGTCAAATCCTCCTGTTTACAATTCAATTTTTCGATATTTCGATTATTAGGAAATTCTTCGATTAAATATATATTAGAAAATGAAAAATTCAATAAATTTAAAAAAAATGTCAATTAAAGTTTATCAAAAAAAATTAGTTCTACAGAATTGTTAATTAATAAAGAGTATGAAAAATTCAGATTTTCAAAGATTTGAATTTAAAACCTTTTCAAAATTCAATTATTTCTAAAAAATAATAAAGTATTTCTAATAAATTCTTCTAATAAATAATTAATAATTATAAAACTTAAACTTAAATTAATTTTTAAATCAATTTTTATTACAAAATTCTACGAGAATTATTTTAATATTTATTAAAATAATTGGATTCTTTTAAAGAATTTTAATGAAATTTTTAAGAATAACTGAAGTTTTTGAGAAATTCAATTTAAATTGTATTAAAATTAATTGAAATTTAGCAATTATTTTTATTGTTTATTAAAATAATTTAATTATTGCAAAGAATTTAAAAAAAAATTTCAAATAATTAATTTCTTTCGAAATAATTTATGCCAATTCTTTTTGATATAATTGAATTCCTGTGAAACTTATTTATGAGAATAATTGACTGTTTGCTTAGAATTTTATCAAAATTATTTTTAAGTAATTGAATTCTTTGAGGAAATTTTATTAAAATAGTACCTAAATACTGAAAATCATTGAATTCAAAGAATAATTTTTGAAAATAATTGAAATTCGGACAAGAATTTTATTAAAATTTTTGAAAATAATTAAATTTTGCTGGAGAATTTTGCTATTTATAAAAATAATTGAAATCTTGAGAATTTCTTTAAAATTTTTTTAAATAATTTAATTCTGTCGTGAAATTTTATTGAAAATAATTGAATTTTTGCAAACTTTTTTATTGGAAAAAATAATTGAATTGTTTCGAAGGATTTATTGAAATTGTAGAAAATAGTTGAATTTTGCTTAGAAGTTTATTAAAATTTCTGAAAATTAATTAATTAATTTTCAGGAAGAATTTTGTTATTTATCAAGATAATTGAATTCTGTCATGAAATTTACTTTTTACTTTTTATAAAAATAATTGAATTGTTTCGAAGGATTTATTAAAATTTTAGAAAATAAATCAATTCTTTGGTAAAATTTTGTTGAAAGTAATTGAATTTTTGCCAAAAAAATTTACTATTTATAAAAATAATTGAATTCTTTAAAAGAATGTTATTATATATCGAGATAATTGAATTCTTTCGAAGAATTGTAACTGCTCCAAAATTCCATTTTTTTTAGAGTTTTTAATTAAAATTCTTTTCTTAATCAATTATTTTTAATAATTAAATTTTCGAAAAACTAAGTTTTTGTAAAATTTCTAATTAAATTCATTCAAAATTAGAATTTTCTAAAATTTAGAATTAAAACCTTTTGGAGTTAATTTATTTATGGAAATTGTTTGCTCAACTCTTATAAAATTTCATTATTTTTGAAATATTTAAGTAAAATTTTTCTTTGAGTATTTTATGATAGTTCTTCAAGAATTAAGTTATTGAATATAATATTTTGAATTGTTGATGAAGAAATATTGTTGCAAAAAAATTTTTAGCTAAAAATTTGGATAGAAAAATATTTTTTCTATTAAATTGTTGACTATAAACGTTGTGAACTTCACTGATGACCGTAATTGAGATTTGTCTTATGAATTCTAAAAATTTAATTTTTTCCAGTACTTTTAATAAGATTCCCTGATTTTATTTTTCCCGACATTTCTCTAAATTCCCTGACCTGTGACAACCCTGCTCTTGGAAATTAGAAAAGTTGGAAATTCTTTTTCAAATGAGAATATAAAAATCGAAAAAAGAAATAGAAAATACAATAAGCATAAAATTGTGTAAAGAAAGAAAATCATACCAGCAACTGAGACTCCAGCGTAGATGTCATCGAAAGTTTTTCCCAGATTAATGCCACGAATCGTGACGTTTGTGTTTCCCTCCCAAGGACCCATCATTGGCTCGAAGGAATGAATCTCAGGATTTGGACAAGTCATATTTCTGTTGAGCCAAACGCCAGCTCCGCGATCGCATTGATCCTTGACCTCGCATCTGTCCGAACTTTGGCACCAGCCACAGCCGAATTTCTGCGCCAGGGCAAGACACATACCGCAATTATCGGCCATGTCACGACATCGATAGATCACCACGTGAATATTGTCAGGATTGTCCAATGGCTTTGAACCGCCCCATATAACGGCGAATGGTACAGTGATATTCTGAGATCGTGAGGCGTACGAGAATTCAGTGTCATCACAATAAATCGTGTCCGCCAAAAGTCGGGCATTTACACTAGTCACTCGTCCCTCAATGTTAAATTGACACACAAATCGTGTTTGAATGATGAATTGCTGAAATCAAATTTGAGTACAAACTTTACAAATTGTTTCGCTATTAAGTATTGAATTTGGAAAGGTTTTACTTTTTTGTTTCCTAACTTTTTTAATATTTTCAATTTTAAAATTAATGTATTGAAAATCATTGAATTCTTGCAAAGAATTTTATTAAAAATTTTGGGAATAATTGAATGTCGGAAGAAAATTTTATTATTTACGAAAATAATTGAAATCTTTCAAAGAATTTTATTAAAATTTTTGAAAATCCTAATTCAATTATTTTGAAGAATTTTTTTAAATTTTTTTAAATAATGGAGTTTTTTTTAATAATTTTAATTGAAAATTTGGATAGTAATTAAATTTTACGAACAATTTCTTTCACGTTTTTTAAATAATAGTGTTTTTTAATAATTAAAATTAAACATTTAATTATTGAATTTAATTAAAATTTTTAGAAAATAATTGAATTTTTCTCAGAATTTTATTACAATTTTCGAAAATAGTTCAATTCATTCAAGGAATTTTATTAAAATATATAGAAAATAATTTAATTCTTTTGAAGAATAGATACTATTAAAGATTTTGATAATAATTAAATTCTTTCAAAAAATTTCTTTAATTTATTGAATATAATCCATTTTGTTAATAATTGCAATTAATAATTTTGATATTAAAATTTTATTTAAATTATTGATAGAAAATTAAACTCTTTTAAACAAATTTATTAGAGTTTTTGTAAATAATTAAATTCTTTTGAAGAATTTCTTTAAGTTTTTTTTTAAATAATGGAGTTTTTTGAATAATTTTAATTCGAAATTTTGAAAATAATTGAATTATTTCGTGACATTTTATTAAAATTTTGTTGAAAATAATTGAATTTTTGCAAACAATTTTACCATTTACAAAAATAATTGAATTGTTTCGTGAAATTTTATTAAAATTTTGTTGAAAATAATTGAATTTTTGCAAACAATTTTACTATTTACAAAAATAATTGAATTTTTCGAAGGATTTATTAAAATTTTAGAAAATAATTGAATTTTTTTCGAAAAAGATTATTAAAAATTAAAAAAAAATTGAATTCTTTTGAAAAATTTTATAATGAATTAAGAGAAACATTGAATTCTTTCGTAAACTTTTATTGAAAATAATTGAATATTTGCAAAGATTTTATTATTTAAAAAAATAATTGAATTGTTTCGAAGAATTTATTAAAATTCTAGAAAATAAGTGAATTCTTTTGTGAAATTTTATTAAAATTGTTTTAGGAATTAAAAATAATCGAATTGTTTCGAAGGATTTATTAAAATTTTAGAAATTAATTGAATTTTTTCGAAATATTTTATAACGAATTAAAAAAAAATGAATTCTTTCGTAAAATTTTATTGAAAATAATTGAATTTTTTCATAGATTTTACTATTTTAAAAAATAATTTAACTAATTCGAAGGATTTATTAAAATTTTGTTAAATAATAAATTGAATATCACGTTAAAAATTAAACGACAAAAGTTCAGAACCTTTAAAAACATTTAATTACACATTTACTTAGTTGAGAAATTAATTTTTTCAATATGTAAAACGATAGAAAGAAAAAAATAAATATTGTTGTTCATTGGAACGTTTAAAACTTCAAGAGCGTAAAAAAAATTATCTAACCATTTGAATAGAAAACAAGTGGAATAAAAATAAAATATTTTTACTTACGCCAATAATGTGAACCTTAACACGAATTGCTTTCTTGATACCGGAAGAAACTAAAATTTCTTGTGAGTCAGTCGAGTTGATGGTCGGACAAAAACCTGGCCCACTTCTATAACTCGGACCCATTCTCTGTAAAAAATTAAACAAACAATTTTTAGAAAGTTATTTTCAAATTATCGTTAAAATATAAAATTTTATCGCTCGACTAGTCACCCTACTGTTAATTTTTTTTCTCCCTCCGAACGAGTGATAATTCGAGATCTAATTTCCATAATACAAAAAAGGGGACGAAAAATTGGAGAAAAAAATATTCAAAGTAAATTTAAATATTTTAAATATATATTAAAAGTGTCTCATATATTTTATACTGTAAATCAATTTAAAAAAAAGCGATAACGAAAAAACTGAAATAATATTTGTAATTTTATACGAGTCAATATGAATCGAATTATAAAAGGAATTTATCAAATTTTAATTATAAAAATTATAAAAAGAAATAAAAAATTGTCAACTAGATATGATTCCTCTCTGATCGACATTAATTTTCAAGAAGATTTCAATTGTAATGTTTAAGTCAAAATTCCTGAGGTCATTTTATAAATAATTTCTGATAATGTGTATATAATATTATTGAACGTTACAAATCTCTGAAATTGAATATTTCACTAACTTCGAAATACATAATTGAAAATGTCCTGGATTAATTTTCCACCAGATGGAAATTGAATATTTAAATAATGAATATGCTTAAATTCGTTAAAATCGATTTTAACCACATTTTGCTGCAATAATGTACAAAATTCTATAGATACATAACAAGTATTCTTATTTTAGAAAATTCGAATTTGTAAATATTTATTTACCATCTATCGTACTCGTCTTAAATAACACTTTTTCCCATAAAGACACTAAAATCAATTAGATTTTTTTGAAAATTAAACCTCAAATAAAAAGCTTTAATGAATTATCTGGAAAAATCAAAAAAGTTCTTGAGCTTGACTATTGTTTTTTTTTAAATTAACATAATTTCTGAAATAATTTACATGTTTTAATATACTTGAAATAAAGCAGAAACTAACCAGTAAATTTTTCAAAAATTTATGTTGGTTTCAAATAAAACGAATAGCATTAAAATTTAATTTTCAAAATTAAGTGGGTGAAAGTTTATGTTCTTTGACTTATTTTAAAGGTGATTTTACGTGGCATTTAAATACCTAATAGTCAGCAATGTGACCATTCTCTCCAAAAATATATACTAGTTTTTAAATTTAATCTAAGAAATTTGACATATGTTTATTTTCAGAGGTAAATTTTTTCCTAGTAATAACTTAAACATCTGTTACCTATTCAAAAACTGATGAAATTTTTAACAAATATATTCTGATTGCAAGTGACTTTTTTTAAAGTTAAGCTCAAGAACATTGTAATATTTCAATTATTTTAAGAATTATATTAATTTTAACAAAATAATGAAAATTCAAAAACTTTTGTGATTTTTAAACATTTAACATTGAAATAAAATAATAAAAGTATTAATTTAATCCTTTATTTTGAAATTTTTATTTCAACTTTTTATTGAAGAGAATTTTTTTCCAAATTAAATGTCCGAATCGATGTTAAAAAAAAAATTTTTTTTTTTGAGGGTAAAAATTCATATTTAAAAAGAGAGTTTAAACATTTTTTTAAAGAGAAATTCGCTAGATCTAAAGCTTTAATACCTTTTAGCTGAAAGCAAATACAAAAAACGAATATTTTGGCACTCTCTCAGTAGCACTTTCTGAATATAAAGAATTAAATATAAAATAAACGCTACTGTATATGGTGCTAGCATACGATTGAAAAAATACTGAGCTTTTTTTTTTGTTTTTTACCCATTTTGATGGAAAATATTGATTTAAAAAAAGAATATTAAATATTGGCCAAAAAATATTATATTTATTGGCTTTTTAAATACTAAAATTCCATTTACGGGGAATTGTAACAAAATGATCGTAATACTTTCGGATTAAATTCTATATACGTAAGAATAGCGACAGACGCAATTGACTTTTTTTTATTGACAATTGGTCACGTCCAAGAAGTTAGCAGTGTATGTTTTTTTAAAAAAGAAAATTTGTTCAAAGAAAAAGAATAATCCTCTTTTATAATGAAAATCTTACATAAATTGTCATTTTTTTGTAAATTAGAGAATTTTTTGGTGAAGTTGAAGAAAAACATTTTTACTTTTTGCAAACTTTGAAAATTTTAGTTTTTATCGGATAACTTTAAAAAGTTTTTATATTATTTTTTCAAATTTTTTAAATTTAGAAATTTTAGTATACAAAGTACTTAACAAATATAAAATAACGATTTTTTTATAGAAAATTGTGCTAGTTAATAACAAATTTATACTAAATAACGATTTTTAATAGCAAATTATACTAGTCAATTTTTGAATCAAAATTATTAAATTTTCCTAGAATTTTTCGAAAATAGTTCTTTCTGAAAATGACAATTTTTAATAACAAATTTCACTATTTTTTAAAAGAAATTTGAATAATTTTTACTGAAATTTACTTTGGTTGTAGTAAAATTTATGAAAATTTATAAAACAAAAGTGTTGTAAACTTGTAACAAAAAATTTCGATTCAAAATTTAGAATAAATGTTTACTTTTTGCAAAATCTAAAAAATCTTTTTATTAAACTAAAAATGTTTTTTAATTAAAAACTGATTCTTTAATTTTTTTTACTTTGTTTTTATTTAAAAATTTTAATTAAATAAAAAAAATTTTTATTTTTTTATGTAAACTAAATTTTTTTTATAGTTTGCAAAAAGTAGAAATTTTTTCTCAACAATTTTTCTAAATTATAAATCAAAATTTTTTTATAGAAGTTAACAATTATGAAATAATTATTTTTAATAGCAAATTTTACCAGTTATAATTTTTTTATAAAAAATAAAAATTAGTAAATATTTTTACTCTTTATATGTAGCGCATGTTTGTTATTAAAAAATGTTATTTCCAGAGTAGATATTTCTTTATCTGATGTAAATTTTTCGAATTTTTATAAGAAAATTTTCTTCGTAAATATCAAAAGCTTTTTCTGAAAATAATAATTTTTAATAGTAATAATTTTACTGAACGTTACGTCAGAAGTAGTAAAATAAAATTCATGGAATATTTTATAATAAAAGGAGCGTTATAACACAAATTTTGATTCAAAATTGAAAAAAATTGCAGACTACAGTAAAATATAATAAAACACCTAAAATCATACTTTTGAAATTTTTGGAACCGGAGAAAACGTTCACTGCTAACTTCTTTTTTATGAGACTGAAGTCTGTAGCATTTTTAAAAAACGATAATAAAACATAATGAAACGATATTTATTATTTTGTCTTCAAAAATTATTTTTTCATAACTGTCCTCTAAGAAAAAATTAATGTCTTAAAAATTTGGGCTCATCAAAAATTAAAGATGAATTAACTGGAAACAAATTCTTTCAAAGTTTTCGTTCGGACTTGAACTATTCATTCTTGTTGGACGTCATTCGTTCATTGTATTATACAGAAAAAAGAAAATATTAATTTTAGATCTCTTTTAAATTCAGCATCCTTAAGGCCTTAAAATACACTGAGAAAAAAAACTATTGGCCCAATAGCGCCAATGCTATTGAATTACATTTTTTTGAAGCAATAATTTCTGTATTGAATTAAGAAAATGAAGTGTTGCGATTTTTTTAAAATAAAATGTAGTTGAATTAATAAATAGTATTTACAGTTTGTATAGATGTGTATTTTTTTCTCAGTGTGAGATTTTTTTTCGACTGTGGTAGTAAATTGAGAATTTTTTTCGGCAAAAATAAATATTGAAGACACTTACGCTGACACCAGTAACGAGAATGTCATTCCGACAGTTTTCAGCAGTGTCATGAGTGCAACGATGCGCATCAACACACCAATCGCAGGGGAAACTCGACGAGACACATTGTGTGCATGAAGTGTGTGTACTGCAGTCAAAAAAGGTGAAATTAGTTGCCACCAGGTCGGGACCATTGGTCATTCTCACGGATAGTCTCGCGGTGAAATGATGTTGACCTTCGGGAATTGATGGCAGAAGGTCAGTCCTTGGGGTTGTACAATTCACTCCATAGGATTTCCTGGTAGCATTCGTAATCAATGTCTTGTCAAGGGCGGAGAATGCGCACAAAAATTGTCCCGCTAACGTTGGTAAATTCTCAATGACAAGCTCAAGTGTTCTTGCCGTTGTTCTTTGCAATTGTTCGGGTGTAACTGTTGTTATTGTTGTGCAACGTCCACTCTTGTACGATATCCAATAGAGTGGATCCTTGGCAGCGTCCTGACAATCGCTACGTAAATTGCACTTATTTTCCAATGAGCACCAACCGCAATATGGATCCTTGGCGCCAAGACATTCCCAACAGGTCTTGTAGACTGAGCATTCCTGGACCTTCACCTTTGATACCTTCTTCTCTGTCAGAACGTAGAGGTGCATCAATTGTGAGTCAAAGAGCAAGTCAGAGTTCACTGCTTTGTCGACGTCAATCTCGAGGTCACCGTACTCAAGGGCCACCGACGAACTCTCCACCACGACCTGCAAAAAAAAAAGAAGAGAAAAATTTAAAATCGAATTCAAAAAAGAGTTTCTTTTTCAACATTCAGTGCTAATTTCCACTGTCAATCAATTAGAATTTACAATTACACACTATTTTTGGTATTTGTCACTCAACGCGCCTTTAAATCGAAAATCAATCACACGGGACCTGCTTCAGGATAGCCACAAAAATTTTAATTTGTTTTTTCCAGGCTATCCCCTGACTTCCAGATTGAATTTAGATGAATAATTCTTCGGAATTTTAAATACTTTTCGAAACTTCAATTATTAAACAAAATTTTTAATTAAAACTTCAAAGGAACTTCAATTATAAAAATATTTCATTTAAAACTTTAATTGATAACGAAATTAGTCACTGTCTCAAACTTCTCTTGATTTTCAAAAATTTTAATAATTAATACAATTAGCTTAAAAAAAATTCTATTATTTTTAATAAAACTTTTAAGAAATTTCAATTATTTCGAAACAATTCAATTACTTGTTTGTAAAAATTAAAATTAATTAAATACTTGTTTGCTTTAAAAAATAGAACTAAAATAATTTAGATGAATAATTCTTCGGAATTTTAAATAAAAATTATCAAAACTTCAATTATTAAAGAAAACTTTTAATTTAAATTTAAAACTTCGAAGGTTCATCAAAATTAGTTACTGTGTCAGACTATTCTCGATTTTCAAAAATTTCAATAATCAATACAATTAGAATAAAAAATTTAATTATTTTAAATAAAATTTCAGGAAAATTTTGAATTATTTCAAAACAACAAAATTACTTATTTTTAAAAATGTAATAAACATTAAAAAATAAAACTAAAATATTTTAAAAACCTAATTCTTTGGGATTTTAAATAAAAATTTTTCGAAACTTTTAAATTTTTAAAAGGAATTTAAAATTTGAATAGGATATTTTTAATATAATTGAAGAAAATTTCAATTTCTTGATTATAAACACAATCAAATATCTTTAAAAAATGTAATTAAATATTATAAAAACTTAATCCTATAGAATTTTGAATAAAAATTTTTTCTTCAATTTTTAAACTGTATTTTTAATTTAAATTTAAAACTTCAAAGAGAGTTGAATTATAAATGAAGATAATATTTATTAACAAATATTTAATTTAAAACTTTAAGGGATAACAAATGTATAATTATTGTGTCAAAACTTATTTCAGTTTTCAACAATAAAATTCGCTTAAAAAAATCAATTTTTCAAAAATAAAATATCGGGAAATTCCAATTATTTAAAAGTAAATCAATTACTCGTTTCTCAAAATTAAATAAGCTTTTAAAAATATAACTGAAATAATTTAGAAGACTAATTTTTCGGAATTAGTAAAATTTTTCGAATCTTTAATTTTAAAATTATTTTTTAATATAATATTTGTAATATTATTTTAGGAAATTTCAATTATTTCAAAAAACATTCAAATACTTGTTTATAAAATATCAAATATCTTTAAAAAATATAAATTAAATTTTTCGAAACTTTAATTTTTAAACTAAATTTTAAATTTAAAACTTCAAAGGTAGTTCAATTATAAATAAAGATATTATTTAGAAACAAATATTTTATTTGAAACTTTAAGAGATAACGAATTTAGTTATTGTATTAAACTTATTTCGAATTTCAAAATTTTTTAGTAAATTCGCTTAAAAAATTCAATTACGAATCAAAATTCAGTAAGCTTTAAAAAATAAAAACTTTTTTGAAATTTCAATTTTGAAAGGAAAATTTAAATTCTAATCTGTTTAAAATGAATTAAAAATTAATAAAAATTGTTATTGTGACACATTTTGAAATTAAATTATTTTAGATGAAATTTTGATTCTTTAATGCTGCTTTTACACCAATAAACAAATGATTATATACGATTGCGACTTTTTTGTAAAGTTAAAAAATTTTGCATTTATTTGAAAAAAATTTACGTTTATAGTTGGAAAATTTGTGACCTTTCGTTTCGTGTAAAAAAACTTTTTTTCCAAAGTTTTGTTGTTTTTTTTTCATTATCAGACATAAATCGATGTTTTGCATTCTTGGATAATTTATAGATAGTATAAATTATCGTATAAGAAATACCCATAATGCCTAAGCGAAATACCTGAAAACTCTTCAAAGATCGCAAAATACCAGAAAATTCTCAAATTCCCGGAGGTCTTTAAAATCTTCTCAAATTGAAACTGTTATCTTTTGTTACATGTTACATTGTAATTGAACATTCTTTCATTGCACTCGAGTCGAAAAAAATCATTTATTTATTGAAGTAATAATATATAAAAAAAAATAATAATATTAATTTTTTTTATTTTGGCTTTAAATTCAAATTATTTGAGGGCAACTTTAGGAAAACCGAAAATTTGAAAATATTTAAATTTCATTTCGATTTTAAGTTCTCCAACTACATTTCCAATGAAAATAAAAAAAAAATTTTAAAAAAATGATAAAATACAAAAAAAATCCCGAGATTAACTTTATCGTTTTCAGGCACAAAATAAATTTTTACATTTCGTATTTTCAATTTGACTTCTTTTTTCTTTTTGAAACGTGATAAAATTTCATATTTTATGAAAAAAAAACCACAAGAAGATTATGTTTTTTTTTTATTTTTTCGGAGGATTGTGAAACGAATTGGAGAATTGAAAAAATGATAGAATTTTAGCACGTTTCATTTGAAGGAAAAACGTGTCATTTGAAATGTTTAATTCATAAAATTGAAATATTTCATTTTTTTTATTTTATTATCATCATCGTGTTTTTTTTTTTTTTTTTTTCGCTAACCTAGGATGCTCTGAATTTAATCGAAAAATAGCAGCATATCCTGTCTTCCATAGAGATCTCTGAGTTGACTCCAGGATATGTGCGACTTGGTCCGGAATGCTTTTCGGAATTTCTAGATGCATTCTTCGACAGAAAGCGTCGCACGATCAGATGAAACTGAATTTCGCCATTTACTGTGTATACATATTCGGAGATTTTCCGTCCAGGTTTTCGATATATGCAATACGAACCATGACGATAATGCAATATATATATATATATATATATATATATATGAGAAACGCTTGGGAAGATGAAATTTTCTCCTTTTTTTCTTTTTTTTTTGATAAATTACTTGATTTAGAAATTGAAAATTGCATTTCATAATAATTTCTTTATTTTCGAAAAAAAATTTTGAAAATTGCTTTTTCTGTAAATTATTAATTATGTAATTAAAAATAAAGAAAGTTGCAAATATGCCTAAAAAATTTTTAATTTAACAAGTTTTTCAATTATAAAAGTTGTTAAAATTAAAAGGTTTTTGAATTGAAGAAACTTTTTGAACCACAAAAGTTCTTTAAGTAAACAATTTTTTAATTAAAAAATTGTTGAATCGAACAGTTTTTGAATTACAAAAGTTCTTTATAAGTAAACAATTTTGTAATTAAAAAGTTTGAACTGAACATTAAATTTCTTTATTAAAATACAAAGTAACAAAAATATCGTCGTTTATTTGAACGTTAAGGCTGAAGTCCGTAACGCTTTTAAAAACGATTAGTTATTATTAATCTATTATTTATTACTATTAATATTTTAATATAGTGTTTACTATTTACTATTTTTTACTATAAAAAATGAGTAATTATCAATTAATTTAAATTTGGAGAAAATAAATTAAAAAAATGAAAGTAAAAAAAGAAAAGGAGGCGAAAAAATGATTCGAATCAATAAAAATATGAGATCGGTATTTATCATATGCAAACAATAGTCGTAATTTTAAAGTGAAAATTAGAGTCAAGGTGTTAAAAGTTTTGAAAGCTGAATGTATATAATATATATATATATATATATTCCATGGGGAGATTAATGCATCCTGATCTTGACCTTCCTCTATACTGTTATACTATAACGATGTTCATTTTGCTCCTTTTCTACACGTATATATAGTTATATACATAAACCAAGTTTTATCGCCAATTCATATACACATACAATTTCTTTCATACACACGTATTTACGATATTTAAAAATTTAAACAGCCAAGCGAACAATCGCTTGAGTAACTAACGCGGCTCGACCGTGACCGAGCAAGAATTGTGTAAATTAATAGAGCCATTTCATGCCACGAGGAAAATTAACGAAAAAAAAACAAAGAAAGTCTACTTGCATTCTGTTTACTTTATTAAGCAACTTCTCAGTTGAAAATTTTCATTCAAAAACCGTTTAATTCAAAAATTCTTTAATTCAATCACTTTTTTTTATTATGAAAGTTTTTTTACTTTAATTTTTGTAATTTAAAAACTTCTTAACTCAAAAGCTTTTTAATTTGAAAACTTTTTAATTCAAAAGCTGTTTAATTCAATAACTGTTCGATTCAAACTTTTTAATTAAAAAATTGTTTATAGAACTTTTGTTATTCGAAAACCTTTTTTAATTCAAAAGCTGTTTACTTCAACAATTTTTGTAATTCAGAAACTTTTTAATTCAAAACATTTTTAATTCAAAAAATTAATTTAATTCAAAAATTAATTCAAGTAAAATTTTATTCAAAAACTTTTTTAATCAGAAATTTTTTAATACAACAATTGTTGTTATTCGAAAATTATTATTCAAAAATTCTGTTTTAAAAAATTGTATAATTTACCTAATAATATTTGTAATTAAACAACTTTTTAACTCATAAGCAATTTAATTCAGTGGCTTTTTAATTCAAAAACTGAAAAATTTTAAATAATTTTTATTCGAAAATTTTTTTATTCTGAAATTTTTTAATACAAAGACTGATAAATTCTCAAAATAATTTTTATTATGAAATTTTTTAATTAAAAAACTTAGTAATTCCGAAACTTGTAAATTTAAAATCTCTTTTTTTCACAATAGTTTTTATTCAAAAACCATTTTGATTCAATAACTTTTTTTATTTCAAATTTGTTTACTATAACAATTTTTGTAATTCAAAAACCTTTTTCAATTCTAAAGGTTTTTAATTTAAAAACTTTAAT